GACTCTTGGTTCCAGAATGTCATAGTAATACGAATTATTCAAGATATAATAAAGGAGTAACAAATTTTCCGACTTTGGTTATTGATATTTTTTTCACCATAGCAGTTAATGATTCAGATCTTCTTTCGAAGACCCCCAAATCCGATTTTTGACACTTTAGTATATCAATACACCTTGTATTTTGCCTTTCTTGATCCAACTCCCCCCTCCTCCCTCCTATTATTCCTCTTTCTTACTATAGTAAAAAAAAATAAGGCCTTTTTTGTGTGTACGTCCGTGTCATTTCGCATTCTCATTGGTCTTTCATTAACCAATCAGAAAACGTCATTGAAAATCCCCGGGAAATTTAAATGTATTCTTCCGTAAAGGAATTATTGATAGGTAGACAGGTATAAAAATGGGATGTATTTCTTCTAATAACCAGGATAAAAGGGAGGATTATTACCTATACAGGATAGTCNTAAATTCACTTGCTGTGTGTTCGTGTTGAGGACTCCTAATTCCTCGGAATTCTATCTACTTAGAAACTTTCGTAATGCCCAGCAGGTATTCCGAACTTGCATGGGCGAGGGGCTCGGAGGACAAGTCGCACAAGTGCAGTTTTTGCTAGTTCGAGAAACACGTGTTTGAAGTTTCGAAATCTCATGGAACCTTATGGCGGAGAGAAAGTTCGAACTGACATTATGATGCTTAAAAAATGGAAATTGGGAGCAACTTTTTCACAGAATATGCATTGAGGCTAGTTTTACTCGAAATCATCATTATCTCAATTTTTTCAAAAACTGCACTTATGCACGTTGTTCTTCAAGCCACCCAATGAAAACCGTTCATTCTCTCAGGCAAATCGAGTGAGCTTTTACAAGGGCGGATTCGGAATCATGAGCGTAATATATGCGTTTTAAACGGATGGCGGGCCTCCAGGTACCCGAAATTACCACGTGCGAGTTAATGGCCCAGTTATGAATTAGGAGCCAGATAAGATATCTTCATGTAGCTTATGCTCTGGGTTTCCGGCTCATCTTGCGGGGATATTTCAATTTGGACGGCGCATGAGCGCTGGGGCAGAGTTGTGGATTTATGAGTCCACCCGTGAAATTTATGGAACGCGATAAAAGCTGGCCAGCCTCTCGCGGTTCCTTAACAAAGATACAAACTAATTCGGCCGCTGTGCGCACTCTCAACTGGATTATTTCATTTTTTTACTTTTATGGAGTCATTTACGGAAGCGGGTAACTCGTCGCTTGGCTGGCAAAACGGCGTAACTACATTGTGAGGTGAGCCCAGGAAAGCATTGAGTTATATGAACGACAGGGTTCATCGCAAGGTGTAGTTACGCTCTTTTGTCAGGAGAGCGACGAACTGATGGATCAGTATCTACCTCGCCAACTCCCTCATTTTTGTAAACTGTTTTGATGTCTGGTGGAAAATCCAGTGACCATTCTTACTCTACATAGTGTTGCAACGTCAAACGGGCAGACGGCAGGAGTATGTTCTAAGGGTCAAAATAAGACTTTTTTATTTTTAAATATTATTCCAAAAATGTCCCTTGTCTGAGCTAAGGCTTTCTCAAATTTTTGCCGAATTTTGTCGATGGTCGTAGATAAAAAAACATGAAATTATATCAGCTAACCAGGGTGTCTAGCATCAGGATTTTCCCGATTTTCTCGATTCTGTCAGGATTTGAGTTCAATCAGGATGTAATCCCGATTTCATCAGGATTCGAGGAAAAATAGGTCGTAAAATCAAGGTTTGAGAAAAGTCGGCCGTCCGATCGGATTTTTTTATGCTTTCGCATACGTTTATACAGAAATTTTAATTTTTCTCCGCAAAAAATTAGGATTTGGATAAATTATGAAATCAGGATACAACAGTCAAAAATCAGGAAAAATCATGATTTCATCAGGATTTTCTGAAATGAATGAAAAAAACTAGACACCTTGCTAACCCTTCTCGCCCTGCTACAAGGAAAAACGCCGTATGAACGTTGGAAAGTTTCCAAATTTTCTCCGATAATAAGGCTTTCTCAAACTTTTGCCGAATTTTGTCGATGGTCGTGAATAAAAAATCATGAAATTATATCCACTAACCAGGGTGTCTAGCATCAGGATTTTCCCGATTTTCCCGCTTCTGTCAGGATTTGAGGTCAATCGGGATATAATGTTTATTTTGTTTATGTTCATTTTTGATGAAGTAATGAATATTTTCTCTGGAAATTTTCAAATCAGTTAGATCTCAGCTTGTGAAATCCTCCGTAAAATTGGAGGAAAAATATTCACGGGTTCCCCGAAAAATTCACACTCTGTAAAAAATTTGACAACATCTGAAGGCTCACACAGCATTTTCCCCTAGAACGGCAGCGTGGGGCGCCCTGTATGAAGGTACTTTAGCCATGGAACGCCAGTGACGTCACAGGATCCGTTCACCCCGCGAATCGGTCTAAACCGGAAGAGCCGTCCACACCGAAGCTCCGAGGGGGGGGAGGGGGGTCCGGGCGTAAAGGCATAGTTCACAGGGAGAGTGGAGGGGGAGGGGGTCGGGGCCCGGACGGATCGTGGCTGAGGGGCGGGCTGCCTAGTGCGGCGATGCCCGGTGCCCGGTGCCCCGACCTTGTTTATCAGCCCGACCATCGATACACATCCCATCCAGCCGCCCGTAAATCAATCACTTCGTGTCGCTGTCCGCTGTCCCAGTCGCCCACGTCGGCTCAACCCATCCGTCGGCCCCGGTTGCCTACCCGTCCGGGGGCTGGCCTCGGATTCGGGAGCATGTCCCGTTTTGGCACTGCTCTGCCGAAATTATCTTTCCATGTGGATTTTATGTGACCGCGCTTGTGGGAATGGACCCTAGGATACATGGACCTTATGGACCTCATTTAGCAGAAAGGAACCAAGCCATATCAGCTATTGCCAAATTTAACTGGGCAATTTAATTTTTTACAAGAGAGTGTTTGTGCGGATTCCTTCGAAAACTTAACGGAATTTGCTTCGCTTTATGCAGAAAATTCACTGAAATTTGCACAAAAATCCGCAAAACCGTTTTCATGAAAAAAATTACTAAGTTCCCAATTGAATTTGGCGATGGCTTGGTTCCTTCCTGCTGAGCCCGGTCCACATAAAACACAAAATCAACGTACTGATACTAGAGCACAGCGGGCTGATTATTGAGATTTATAGAGAAAGCGATAGGCATAGAAGATAAACAGAAAATGGAGCAGTCCTTTTGGTGGGAGCGATTGGTTGCAATTGATAAGAGAGGTAAGTAATATACTGAAAGCACCTAACGAAGGACCCTAGTCTCTCATTTTCTCACTCATTCTTAGTCTACAAAAACCATCAGCTCCAATAGATAGGATGGCTCCATTTTCCCGTCGTCTTCTTTGCCTATAGCTTTGGTCGTCAATTTTGGTAATCAACCCACATAAGAAGTGTTTTGCGAATATTTTGAGCTTCAGAAAGTCTAATACTTCGTTTTTGGTGGGTGGGTACATCTCGCTTTGAGGATCACATTTCGAGAATGGAGAAGCGAATGAGGTTGTGAATTGGGGTAACTGAATGAGGGAAAACGAGAAGCAGTTTTATGAATATTTAGCAATAGAAGATGAGTTTATTTTTTTTTATCTAACATTCATGTTGTGCTTCAAAACTAAAAAATTAGTACAAAAAATCGAGCGAAAAAATGCTCCTAATATGATGTGTACGCTAAGAGTAATCAGTGCTTGAATACACTTTCCTGCGTGCTCGTTTGTCCAAAATTTAGTCACTCGTCAAGTCGATCATGAGCGTTTCGTCTGAAAACAGAAGAAAAGCTACATGAAAGAGCTTAGAAATAGGTCTTTAAATAAGTGATAAGGAAAAGTAAAAGCGTAGGTACCTTTTAATGTCATCACGAACCTTAAACATCAGAATGGCAAATTTTCACTAAAGACTAAGTAGAAGGACAAGGGAGGCAAAGGAATATCATCCGTCAAACATGTGTAAAATGTTATTCATTGAACGTGCTTATTTTTTCATCGCAAGCATGGGGGCATTTTGTACTTTCCGTAAAACTAGGGAAAGAAAAATTGGTTTTATCGATGGAGACATTAAGAAAAATCAGGAATTTTCCTTGAAATGTAGGGAAAAGTATACCTGTTTGTAGATTCCCCATCAAACACGAATATTTTTCAACGACTAATTTGATTTGGCTATCATGCTAAGATAAAGTAGCATACTATTCTTCTCAACGTTGGATATCTCTGTATGTTTGTATGCAGTTGTTATCTTATGTTAACGTTTGATTTTTCTCCGGGTATTCTCAATTTAGGTGCAGACATTTTTTAAACGGAACTAAAAAATCTTCACTTCAAAGGTTCTCTGGTTTAAGTTCAACAGAGACCAATCGACAGCATTATATAGTCTGGTTATTTATTTCCATTCTGATTAACAATTGACTAATCTATTATGAACTCTTCTTTAAACATAATATGCAACGACAAGATTTTTTACCTGCGTAAAATTGATGATATTTTGTGAAGAGTTTTTGCTAGTATGTAGCCACCTGATTTACACACAAAAAAGGCCAGGTTCCGCACAAATGCTAAACTTCTCTTTTATTGATCTACCTCACATGAGCCGTACAATGAACATATTTAATTACCTCTCTAAAAGTTTTTCAGTTGTCTCCCTATTTTGATGTATATAATACCCAATGCCAAGAGATTGAAAATGGACACCTTCGTAAAATTTGCAGAGACAAATTTTTGCCTACGGTCAGCATACGAGCTTTGAAAAACACCTGATTGATCTATGCATGCTAGCGGTTTCCACACACTAGTTCTAGGTGAAATTCAAATGTTTGTCTTTAAAGAATCATTAAGTCTTCCAAAACTTTTTTGTGTGAACCCTCCATGGTATAGTAATGAGCATTATTTCTATCATTTATTTCGGTCGTTTCTGGAATAACGTCAAGTATTTATAAATGTGAGCACAAAATTTATTCGCATGTCCATATAACTTAGGATATTTTAATTGTATAAAATAAGTACAAAATCTAAAACTAAGAAAAAAGTCGGTATAAAAAATAGGAAGGAACATCGTTTCCCTGGGATTAAAGCTATTTCTTTTTTTTAAGATATCTGGGATTGCTTGCCATTGTCGCTCAGGTGCTGTCGAATTGGGGCTCACTTTATAGGTACTCGGGGTGTTAACCTAACCATACTTGCCCATTGCCCGTCGCACAAGTCCTCGAACTCCATCTCCTCGATGAGCTTTCCTCCGAGGTCCCCTGGGCCGCGGCACTGTGGGTTCGAGTCCCAAACTTTAGGCTTGTTCTTTTTCAGCCATCTGCAAAGTTTAGAAATATGATACAGAAAATGTTAAATTGGAAATTTACAGGTGTCTGAAATGTAACGAATTTCATTTTTTAAGCTGAAATTATTGAGTGAACCGAGCACGAGTACATCCTTGGATCCTAAATTGAACAATTGGACCGCGTCTAGCAGAAATGAACCTGGGCACTTCAGCTATTGTCAACTTTAACTGGGCAATTTAATTTTTCAAAAGACAAAGTATGTGCGGATTCCTTTGAAAATTTTAAGGAATTTGCTTGGTACTATGCAGAAAATTCACAGTAATTCGCACATAAACATCCGCACGCCCGTTTTCATGTAAAAAATTAAAATGCCCAATTAAATTTGGCAAAAGCTGATGTGGCTTGGTTCCTTTCTGCTTATTGCAGTCTAATTACCAGGTGATTTATGATGAAATGGTCTAATTTTCTAAAGTACATGTGTCTAAATGGAAAGTGCCGCCTGATGACGTCACATGGCGGTGCATTTTCTCCCTTTTAAACCAATTTACTTACTGATTCCCACAGCAGAAACAATTGTAAAAAATATTACGGAATCAGCTCACTACAACACTCTTAGATTACTGCTTCATCTAAGACTTTCAGATGAAGCAGTAAGAAATTCTCGTGCAATAATTAAAGCATTACAAGACATTTCCTCATTGGGAGCTCACGCAAAACATGCTACTCAAAGAACGATTATTTGAACGCGACGATTTGTCTAAACTTCTCAGTGTCTATACCTGATCGTAGAGCTTTAAAGAGTTTTGATTAGATAACTATTTCTACCCCAGGGTGCGCATTTTGCCCATACGTGTGTATGAAGGCAATTTATGTTTAGAGCTATCTTTTTAAGCTCCATGCATGTGTTTTGATTTTTCCTAACCGATGATGATGTAGTAAGAATAATGAACAATCTCACTGTTATCATGGGAGAAGAGGAAAGAGTTGTGATGAGTTACCTGGCAAGGTATAGAATCGCACAATCACAATGCCACGGATTCTTAGCCAGTTTCAGTGACTGTAATTCTCCAACGTAATCTAGGCAGTCGGTTGGGAGGTACTGGAATTTGTTGCTGTCGATTTGCCTAAAACCAGAAGAGAATGAGACTACATTTAAAGAATTTAGTGAAAACAGAGGTCATCAAATAGTTTCTCCACATAATGCATATTGTTTTCCCAAAATTCAGCACAATCTTTAGCATCAACATTATCTGACTGAAATGTAATCGTTTTAAAAAAACAGTTCAACCTAAAAGGGGGACAATAAAATCATGGCTCAAGCGTATCTCACAATCGTTTAAAATAAATAATAATGAAATTTTGTGGGACATCAGAAATAAGATTATTTTTGTTTTTAACAACGGTATAACAAATTCCCTTTGAAATAACATTTTATCATAATTGTTGTGTTTAAAAAAGTCAGTAAAAGTGTCGTATTTTTGATAAAATTGTATCTTTTACGATGTAAAAATAAAAAAAATAAAATTGAAGTAAAATGACATTGAATCTCGTTTTGTACAATGAACCAACCAAGTAAATACCTAAATATAAATTCCACGAAAATAGCTTTATCATTGAATACTAACAATTTTTTGAGGTGTGGTAATGGCTTAAACACTTTTTCGTCCATCAGTTTGAGCAGATTGTTGTTCAAAAATAGAGCTGTCAGGTTTGTGAGCCCAGTGAATGCTTTTTCTCGGAGATTTTGAAGATTATTTGAAAACAACATAAGTTTCTCCAAGGAAATGAGCTCCCGAAAAATATCATCGGGTAAATCGGTCAGCAAGTTTTGGCCTAAGTGTAGCTCCTTCACTGATCTTAAATTCAAGAATTCCTGACCACTGAGCTAAAACATTCAAAAAACACCGTTGAAATAAATGTTCATCAGAAAAATTCATTATTATGCTGTAAAGCCAGTCATTGTCCATGAAGTGGAAACGTTTTCGAGCACTATGATGAAAATTGGATCAACATGTATCAAGCCATATTAGGCATTATTAATGATGTTTTTAAATCAAATGCCTCTAAAACCGGTAGCACCGACTTCATCTGATTTTCTCCTCAAACTGCTGTTTGTCGTTCTCTGACCTTAAAATGCTCTGAGAAGGCCAATTTCGTGGTATATTTTGCGTCAAGCGATGCAAAATTAACGTTTCTAAGCTGTGGTCTAGATGTAGTCGATTTTTTTACTCGAAATCGTGTGATACTGTGTATTTGGATATAATCCTTGTAAATAATAATGTGGAAGGAAGAAGAATCCAAATTATAATTTGTTACGGATTTGACAAATGAGCTTTAGACAGCTCTCAAAACAATGAACAGGTGAGAAAATTAATGAAGAATTTTATGATTTTAATATCGAAACTTTCGGGAAGTAAATTTACCATGCTGTACCTTACCGACCATATTATCTGTTTTTAAGTTTAAAAAGTCAATGTTATTAAAATGGTCTAAAAATGTCTCTAAAAATATTCGTGTTCATTCTGAAGCACTTTAAAGAGGAAGAAATTAGATGGAATAATATTTGCACTGCTTTAAAACTATTTTCATCAACCTTACCGTGGCAATCCAGTTACCAGCAAGGTCTAGCTGCGTCAATAATGACAGACTGTCAAATAAACCAGGACGAATAAAAGTCAACCTGTTTCTTCTCAACGATAATAAATCGAGGAATCTGATCTCACTGAATATTCCTGAAACATCCGGGAAAAAACACTGGCTGATTTTCATTTTATTAATTTATTTTACTTTCAATATTTTCTCTTCTTCAATCGAAGACTTTTTTCTGAAATAAAATAATGAACTATCCAGATAAGGAAGATAGAAATAAATGTACTCTCGTCAAATTTTTCGGCGATAAATGAAAGTGTAATTGTCTAACATCTCACAGAATATCGGACGGATTTAATGAGAATGGGTATAATTGCATTTTACGCTACCGAATTTCTGGTCTTATCTTAATTTTTAACAACGCTACGCCTCGAAACTTTTAGTGAATTTCCCAGAACGAATACAGAATATATTCATATAAAAATTCTATGAAACATTTTCATAAATTCATTCAAATGAAATTTCAAGTTAGAATATTGCCGTTAGGGTAGCCAGGGGGCAGAGCTTTTATCTGAAATAAATTCTGAACAAAACAATGATTTTATAAATCTAAGACCTTTAAAATCACGAAAACCATATTTTTAAATTTTCCTCTAGTATAACAGCCATAAAATAAAAGTTAGTCATCAGAGTGCTGCAGCTTCATTGGGAGCCTTCACTCAATCGTGTAGGCAAAATGCGCTGACTTTAGTTCGAAGTTTTACCTGCTCAAAACACTGTACTTCATCGTTTCGGCTCTGGCTCTAGGAGCATTAAAATGGACAAATGTTGTCAATTTTGTAGGATTATTGAAGCACCCCTCCCCCTGCCTTTCTTGTCGACAAAAACAAGGCTAAATTGATATCATGCAGTAATTTTAATTCCTTCAAGGGAACTACCTATACAGTTGAACGGCAGGTAATGCTAGGGCCCAAATCGTCTACTTTTTATGTAGTGCAATTCGAATAAAAATGAAATTAGGGTGTCACCAAGCATCAGTATTTTTCCGATTTTCCTGATTCTATCAGGATGTACTGCCGATTTCACCAGGATTTGAGGAAAAATCCGTCGTAAAATCAGGATTTGAGAAAAGTCAGCTGTCGGAATCGGATTCTTTTTCGAGCTTTTTTTGCAAGTTACATTTTTCTCGCCAAAAATCAAGATTTGATCGGGATTTGGAAAAATCATGAGATTTGGATTTCGCAGTCGAATATAAGGAAAAATCTGGATTTCATCAGGATTTCCCAAAATGAAAAAAAAAACTAGACACCCTGTTAAATGAACGTGCACTTTAATGAGCAATGTATATATGTATGTTTACTTCATGTTTTTTAAACGTCGTGCATTTGAAGTACCTGGTGGTAAGTGATTGATTTGATTGTCCTGGAGCTTAAGTCGTTTAAGGTTTATCAGACCATTGAACGTTCCAGGCTTAAACTCGGACAGGAGATTAGCTGATAAGTCCAACTCTTCGAGCTTGTCCAAATTTTGAAATAACGTCTCTGGAATCGCCTCCAGCAAATTGCTCGCAAGGTTAATCACAGTCAGTTTGTTTGTCCCCTTGAACAATGCTTCCGGGAGCAATCGTAGTGAGTTAAATGAGATATCACTGCGTAAAAAGAAATGTAATTAATGTAATATTTTTCTCGAAATCTCGTATACATGCAATAAATGAGTGGAATATCTTCTTGCTGCAAAAAATTGTTCGTGAGGTTAAGAAAATTTACTGATTTGATCTCATATTTTGAGGAGGCACACATCCAACTGTGAGTCGAATTTTTAGAACTTCATAAAATTATTTCCTTACTTGTTTTACCTGATTGTACGTTTTCCATGTCAACAGTTCATTCAGCTTTTAGTTTTCTTCTCGCATTAGTAAGAGGTTTATTTGCGTTTTCAGTGAACTTTAAGCAAACTCAAAGCAAGTACCAAAAGAGTATTTCTCTACTTGTGACAACAGCTTTCTACGAGAGAAGTGTAGTTTGTTTCATAAAATTGAACAATTTGACTGAGATAGGTTTTGAATAACTTAACTTAAAACGAATTATTAGTCTCCAAGGTACATACATGGTTTCTAAATGAATGTTCCTGAGGAATAGTTTTCTCGGTAATTCCTCCAATCTATTCCGATGCAGCCTTCTGCAAAAAGAGAAAAACGTGGTCAGATAAAGCATTAGTTAGCAATTTATAGTAAGCAATATAATAGAAGTTAGCATTTTAATTTATAGAAATACAGCTTATTATATGAATCCAGAGTGTTTTCTACTATTGTTCTAAAAGTGTACGTATGCACCCATGTACTTTATTCTAAAGAGACGTGCATTTTATTAAATATCATATAGGATGAATGATCATTTTCTTTTTTAGAGTAGAAACGGATGAACTTACAAGTGTGCCAAGCTTTCGCAGGATTGGAATAAAGTTGATGGTAAAAAATCTATGTGGTTGTCGAACAAGTCCCTGAAAAAGAAGTGGTCAGAAAGGGTATTAGTAAATATCGTAGTTCATTGACAAGAAAAATATGATAGTTATGTTATTAGGGCTTTTTTGATTTTAGAGTTAGACGCACCGTGTGCATGATATGATGTCGTGACTTGCAAATTGCATAAATTCTGCAGTTGTTTTCTGAAAGAAGCCGGTCTAGATCACTTTGATTTATTCCTGTAGGCAAAATGTTCACATCATTGTTGCAATTTTATTCTAATCAAAACATCCTCCAACTTGATAATCTGTCACATAATGGAAACTTTTCCCCAAAGGTTTTTAAAATAATTCATTCTGTCTAGAATATATTTCGACAACGGCAATTAAGAACTGCACAATAGTTGGGTGAAAAGAAAATTAAATTACCGTACTCACAGTTGCGTAAGTCTGATGAAACCGTCAAATGCATCTTTATGCAGTGATGATATCTGGTTGATTCCAAGATCTCTGAAATGTAAACATAAAAACTTAGCTGACACCCGCACCTTCAAAAAGACGGCAATTAAACCTTGAGACATGATAATTGATGTAGAAATCGATCCTAAACTTTGTCTTGGCACTAGTTGTAGAAAGGAGAGACTTGTTATAAAAATGTGGAAATTCACACCACGAAAAATTGTATCGTCAGACTTTACTAGACGCTCTGGACGCGCTTTGCGCATCCGTCACGGCTAGCCAAGGGGCTGTGCCCCATGGAGCCCCGGCCATACGCGAGTGATATTCGGCTTCAAAAATGCCAATAAAATTTATGAAGTGCCGTCATAGAGGCGGAGATTCTCAGACACCGCAAACGAGATATGTGATTGCGGACTTACGCCGCGCCGTCGATATACGCAATGCGTGAAGTATTCTTTTGACCTTGTAGGCGTTAATATGCGCCTCTCGCCGACCGCACCGTTTTGCGTAATGCGAGAAGTTTTCCTGCGGGCTTGTAGGCGCTAACATGCGCCTCTCGTCAACCGCACTGTTTGGTGCAATGCGCGAAGTATTCTTGCGATCTTATAGACGCTAATATGCGTTTCTGACTCCGCTGTGTTTGGCGCAATTATTCAAACTTACTTTAAAATATTTACTTTAAAATTTTTCCAGGAAGGCAGCCTCTCGTCCCTCGCAGACTCTATTGTTGCCAGATAAGTTCCTTTTCCAACACTCTTACCAGTTCAAACCCATGTAAAATATTCACATTTATCGCACAATCTGGCAACCCCACGAGTGAAATAGAAAAAGGTGGAATCGACTGAAAGTCTGAATCCTTCGAAGTTTATATTAATGATTCTGCGTGTGGTTGTATACGTATGTGATGGTAGTTTATTACGAGGGTGTAACTTCTGGCTCTGCAGCAAGTATAAGTGGGCTCTAATTGTAACTAACTTACATGACCCTAATATCCGCGGGTACAATTTGTTTGGCGGGCAGTTCATCTATCTCTTGTCTCCAGCAGCTTAGAGTGTGCGTTTCAGGGCGGCATCTGCAAGGACCCTCACAGCAACGGTACCATCGCTCATCGTCTGTGCTCCGACTCCAAACTGAAGTTGAAAATCAAATTTGGACACTCCAAATAGAATACCAAATAGGATCAGAATCTTTTTAAAGAAATAATACGACATCGATTTTATAGGATACTTTTCCCGGTGTCACAATATGACACTGTCAATCACGACAAAATTAAAATGTCTAGAGAAGTATAAAAAAAATTGCCCTGAAAGAATTTTCGAATGACACTTTTAAAATTAAAAATGAGAAATTTTCCAAATATTTTATCAGTGATTTCCAAAAAAAGGTCTTGTTTACTTATTTTCAAAACATTTAAACAAAACAAAAAAAAAAACATCGCAAGTATTTGGGACCCAATTTTGGCAAAATTCAGACAGACTTCTTGGGATGAGAAACCTGCGTTTTCAGAACGCATTGAAAAAAAAAATTCGAAAATGCTTTCAGCGATGTTTGAAAAAAAAAAAATTCAAAGGAACCTATTCATGCCAAAATGCACTACGTGCGGATGAATTGGAGGTAAGAAGCCGAAACACACATATATTTGCATCTTCTTCATAAATACGGCCCATGGATCTGTTAAATGCGTCAGGGATTTGCAATTTAATGCTCCGCCTTGTGAAAAGTCTCGCAAGAAACACGGTGATTGCACTGATTTTCTCTGAAACGAACTGCTGAACCCTGCTAATGTATTTGTTCCATATTCACGCATAGACAATTGACTAGATGGTGTGGTGGTTTCTCAGCGTTGCGCGGGGCATCCCCTCCATTACTGCCTCAACTCTAAGAGATTTTCTTTGAGTTTTAAGCACACTTTAGAGGAAACCCATAGCACCATCGTGTTAGAACATTTCGACGGTGTAAGTCGACAATCACATAACTCGTTTGCGCTGTCTGAAAATCTCCGCCTCTATGTTATTTTTTTAAATGAGAACAAATTGACATCATTCCTCGAAATTTATGCAGAATTTTCTTCGCACAGAGAAGAAAAATCACTGCAGTTTTAAAGAATTGCCGTTGAGTAGTTTCCCGTTTAAAAAATAATGTATGACAGGAAGTCTGCGACGTCGCAAATCGAGTTATGTGATTGCCGACTTACACCATCGATTTAACTTTTTTCCTCGGAGAATGTACTTCAATCGCAAATCCCTGACGCCTTCAAGAGCTCCATATTCATAAAACTGCCAGTGATTTTGGAAGAGCGCTCACCTGTTTGCTCGACCGATCGGAGACGTCTCTCGAGCTTTCCAAGTTGAACTTCGGTCGAGTCATCGGTGGTTTTATCCTTGGCGAGGTGGGTGGTGTGCGTGGCGCTGGCCATCTCCTCCCTGATCTTCTGCAGGGCGTCGCACGCGTTGATGTGGCAGAAGTCATCGTCGGACGTGTACCCGAAAAACGGTCGCCCGTACTCCGCCGATTCCAACGGATCGATCGACAGCTGTAAAAATAATTTCAGTAAGAGCGCGCGCACCAGTTTCATTTTTCGGGAGTTTACTACTGCTCTGTGATCACATCACAATAAGGCCAACTATTTTTTTCAATTTTTTTTTTTCTCACAGGCTGGATCACATTTACAATGAGCTAGCCACATCAAGTTCCTGATTCTCCTTTAAATAGTTGTGAAATAGTTTTTCGACTATTTTAGAATTCATTCTTTTTGCTGCACACCTTCTCAGATCCGTAAACGCGCTTTCTAAATCGAACGGGAACAAAGTAACGTTTATTAAAATGCAGCAAAAATTATCGCTCATTATCACAAAATAATTCACTTATATAAACACATTCATTCAATCTACGATTCTGTATACATGAGCATGTTGTAAAAATACGGCACTCGCGATAGTAGAACCGAATTTGCGGAGGAAGACACAAGACTGAATTGGTGCGCGTCCGCCCCCCCAGTTCGTTGAGATCCCTCTGTTGGGTGCCTTTGTTTGCTAGTTAACCTGGATAGTTACGGATATGAGCTCGATTGAATGTTTGGAGTCCCCATACCCCCTCGTCCTCCTTAATTTGAGTGAACTTAATTAATTCAAGCCAACAACCTTCAGGATCTGCTCAGGACAAGCATTGTAGAAAGATGACCACACGGTGTAGTAGCTCGATATTTCGGAGAATTATCGAGGTATGAAATTCGGAATCCGGCTACCGAATCCAACATTGGAAAACTATCAGAATGACATGAATTTTTATTATTTGGACTTCATTTTGCAAATTTGGAACTATAAATTTTGGCCCGGTTTAAAAACAACGTATGTGCCATTAGTTTCCCCATGCACATAAGTGTTTTTTCACTTGAGCCAGACTTTATAGTTCCAAATTGCAAAATGCAGTCCATTTCGACGTTGTAGCGCAGCGCTCACTCGGACATACCCAGAAAATAGCTTTTTTTCAAGCGGAGAAAAGTTACTATAGTGTTATGGCAATTTGCCTTCAATTTTTAGTGTAGGCAACACGAGCTCCTGGTGGTCGAATAGTGGTATCTTCCCCTCATAACTGTTAGACGGTCGTCTGTCGGTAAATGCTTTGTATTAGCAGTAACATAAGAATATGGAGAGAGGAAGGAAAGGAAAAAAAATTGATAGACGTGTATAATTCATAAAGTAGCCGTAGCTGTACAGTAAAACAAACTTGTTTCAGCAGGATGAGATTTTGAAGTAGGTAAAGTGAGGTCATGGTTTTAAGCGGACGTAGAGTGTGCACAGGTAGAATATACTTTTCCATCATCTTGTTATTGAGCTAACATACCAAAAAACACGGATTTATGCAACTCGCTGCACACGGAGAAAACCCTTCGGTTTCTTATGGAACATGTAAGTTTCAAGTCCAAGTTACTGATGTTCTCAATCCAGAGATCGGAACTGTAGCACTGGGTGCAGAAAGGAAATTTATTGGGTTGTGGTGTCTCAAGATCTCCGGTATACCATTTCATCCGTTATGATGAAAGTAAATGCATTTAATTCGTTGTGACTGCTACTAAATATTCTTTATGATTTTACAATGCTGATAACTTAAAATTTCAGAAAATTCACCCGATTGTCTCCTCTCTAGAGGTAAAGTAGCACTTAAGGTCCTGAAACACCGTAACCAAGACATATAATTTCTGCACCCAACGCTTCAACTTCAGTGTAGGTAACCGAAGTTTTCGTCTGCCATTATATGACTCGTTTTATTTATCAAAAACTTCGGTTGCCTGACTTGAAGTTCCTAGGACTGGAAACTTATGCACTGAAAAAAATTTCTCGGCGTTTTTACCACGGTCCGTTGGTACCTTTACCATCTCACTTTTTTTACCAATTATTGGTAATATTACCAAGACAGACTGGTAAGCCAAGTATTTTACCGCGATTTCTCGGTAAAATTATCAATTTCATAAATGGTAATTTTACCGAGAAAAAACTGGGATCAAATAGAACCCCGAATTCTTGGTAATTTTACCCTTTTCTTAGTAAATACACCGAGATTTTTTTCAGTAATTTTCTTCAGTAATCATTTTTGTAATCTCGCCCGGAAACTTTAGTTCTGGATATGAACTGAAGTTCAGTACTTGCGTTCGAGGTTTTTTTCTCCTTGCAGTACTTGTATCCAAGTATACCAGTAGAGTGGGCCGAATGCAAAATGCACTCGCTATCAGTCGAGCGCTAAAAAAGGGGGCATGCAAATTGAAACCAGAGCTTGATTTCCCCTTACGGTCCCGCAGTCCGTGTTCTATAAATAATTACACTGGCAAACTGAATCATAGCCACTCGCTACCGCGCTTACTCAAAGCTTTATCGCACATTTCAGCGGGTAAATCTGCTAATTTATGACGCTCGGACATACTCGGCCGTTTCTCAATTGAAATAAAACCCGGCGAATATTAAACAGGCCCGACCGAAGAGATCATTATATCACCCAGCTTTACCTTGAGTCGGCCAACTTAAAAGCCGCCGCGTACGCAAACGCAGCGCTACTGCCATCTGGGGAGCGACTCGCGAATTAATCGAAGCGGAAAGCGCGACTCTTTCGCCGCCGTTTTAAGGAAAAACGTCGTATGAGCCTTAAGGCATTGCCAAATTCCCTCCAATAAAAGTCAAATTTACCCGGAAAATTGGGAATTTTCTGTTCCAGATTTTCAGACAATTTTGTTCGGAATTTAATCTAAAATGCCTGCAAATTTCAAGGAAAACTATGCGAAACTTTCTACATAAATACATGTTTTATACGATGAAATTTGGCCACTCTCGAATGTTCATACGTCGTTCTTCCTGAGCTCAGCAGTTCGGTCCATCGGCAACCGCCATATGCGAAGGAGTAGTTTCCGAAAGGAAACATGACCATTCTCAGTTGAGCCTCGAAACGGTACTGTTTTCATGTCTATCAGGGTTCATCTTGAATTGGACTTATTGGCTTTTAGAAGCTGCGGTAGGTGACCTTCGGCCGGGCGCCTTTTTGCCGGTGATATATGCGTTTCCTGATGCTTAATCGAATGGAAAAGAGAAAAATCGTCGACTGAAAAAGACGGAAAGAGTCGGGCCGTCATTAATTCTCATTAGTTGCTCTTGAGTGTCGATTGGGCGCCCTGATAAACGCAGCGGCTGACGATTCGATGATGAAAGGGTCAACCGTAGCACTCGCTAAGCGTATTGTTTCGTATGCACTGTCACGCCTCGCAATTTGTCATCGCGAGCTCCTATTGGTTTAAGCTCTGTGGCAATCCACACCGCTGCGTTTACGATGTGCCGATTGGTTCTGAGATGTTGATTGACAAGAATTCCTTTTTTGAGAGATTTAAGGTGTTTCGGACTCGTTTCTGATTGGATCATGTTTTTTTCTGGGTTGTTGAAATCACCAAATTTTTGGTTGGAACAACTATAAACCTGGAATAATCTAAAGTACCTTCACTGAAAAAAGAGATTGGTAGAATTTACCATTCCTTCACGCTGTATTGTACACAGCGTGAATTCAAAGTAGATTTTGCCAGAGGAATGGTTACATGTACCAGTATATAGAAACGTGTACCTTTTTTCTGGCAGAATTGACTCTGAATTGACGCTGTGTGAAATGCAGCGAGAAGAAATAGTAAATTCTACCAATCTTTTTTTTTCAGTGTAGATAGGGAGAATGGACAGAACTTTAATCCTAGAGATCCGTCAGGTTTTCACCGATGCTTCCGTGAATGAAGTTATGATCTCAAAAGACGATCAAATCCCGAACCGATTCCGATCTAAATAGATTATTCTATGACTGATGGCCAACACTTGCAACATTTCTCTTTGATCAAAATGGAGTGTCACTGCCACTATTCGTCATTCCTTGTCACACAGAAAATTTCTGCATGGTCTTAATCCATAGTAACGATTTTAGGACTAATAAGTTCCAACGCTCGGATGGGAAGTAGTTCCAGAATTTGACCGCCTATCGAGGTTTTTAAGGCCGTCAACTAATGATTCCAGATTACCCGTTGTTTGTATCGCTTTTACACTGTTTTATCGATCAAGGATCGTTTCAGTGCCAATTTATATGCGATGAACATTTTTAGTTAGTTCCGACTTGTGAAGTCTTCTCTCAACTAAATCATGTTCTGGCTCAATTATTGATACAACTAAATTGAACACTGCTAGTGGGCCGATTCTTGAAATGCATAGTCAGAGCAGTAGACAAAGAACACAAAGGGAAAATTGAAGGGGGACCCTTTTGTTGGGAGCGGGTGATTGCAATGGATTTAGAGAAGGTAGTAATAGACAAACTACAGGCAACCCACGAGAGATTCTTTAGTCAGCTTTCCATCATTTTTGTCCCAATTCTATTAAAACTAACCGTTTCAACCAATGGAATGGCTCCTTTTTTCCTTTGTTTTCCTCGTCTATCGTTGTGTTTATCACTCTCATAATCATCCTGCAGCATAGCCAACCAGAAGATAGCTTTGTTCTGGTGCACTGCAAAATCATTATTGGAGTTGAATATTTTTCCCTTCCGTAATGTTTATCTTAGAAAAACATCTGGTACAATAATCGGCTGAGTTCAGTGAAGCCTGCACAATCAAGCAAACTTTCAATTAGCAGACCTCCAACTGCCCTCGTACGCAGTATACGAAGGCCCCGGAAAAATTTGCATAATTATGCGTAAATCTTGGAACTGATTCACTCTGTCCGACGAATCGCGAAGAGAAGGGAAAGACTGAAAGAGGAGCAACCTGCAAACCTGCAACCTGCCCCAGCCAAGGGTATCTCGCATGTGTTCAGGCCTAAGAAACTGTCAAACGGGGAGGTGTAAATTGGTTGCAACTATGTATGTTTGAATGCTTGTGTAGTGAACACAATTGGATAATAGTTTCTCGCTTCTATTTTCTGCAGCTTCTAAGTTTCAATATCGTTGACCAAATAGAGACGCATGGATGGCAAGTTGTGAATAATATGATTAATTTCTGTAAATCGTAGTGTGTAGGACGGGGAAAAACTGGGATTCATCAGGGAACGAAACATTGTAGAGAAAATCAAGGAAAAATCAGGAAATGAAACATTGTAAAGAAAATTCGGGACAAATGAGGGAATCTGTTTCAGAAACCTCTTAGAGATTATATCGTTTTCAAATTTTGCGGAGATTTCAAGTGTACCCCTTGTTGGTGAGGATTATGGTCCAGGCTATTGCACCTGAGTTGCTATTACTAACCTCTTGAATGACATATTCGAATGAACAAATATCATAATAACAGAGAAACTTTGACCAGATAAGAAGAACACCAGGAACGCTTTTGAAATTGAAAGTTTGAATGTGCCAAAAAATCGGCTGAAAGATGAAAACAGTTCGATATTTCATAGCTAGAAGTTCGGAGGATTATACATTTTTCACAAGAAAATCGTGAAAATCAGGAAATATCAAGGAATGAGCTT